TTTTCTTTTTTTTTTTTTTTTTTTTTTTTTTGAGAGGCTGGAGTGCAGTGGCACAATCTTGGCTTAATGCAACCTCCACCTCCCAGATTAAAGCGATTCTTCTGCCTCAGCCTCTCACATAGCTGGGATTACAGACATGCACCATCAAGCTCGGCCAAATTTTATATTTTAGTAAAGATAGGGTTTCACCATGTTGACCAGTCTGGTCTCAAACTCCTGACTTCAAGTTATCTGCCCACCTTGGCCTCCCAAAGTGCTGGGATTACAGGCGTGAGCCACCCAATGCTGCCTAATATGGCAGAAGTTTTAAACCATACATATCAAGTTTGCTATCAAATATTTTCCCAAATGTTACAAGAAATATAAGTTCCAGAGGAATAATTGTACCAAAGCTTTTTGTTGAAGAATAGAAGATTTTTATTATAGAATAGAAGGTAGTTTTAAGATTTAATCAAGAATTATATTCTTTCATTAGATGACAGTTTCCAAAATGTTCATAATGCTTATCTCTGGTGGGTGAGATTATAGATTAATTTTTTTCTTTATATTTTCTTGTGTGTTCCAGATGTTCCAACAATGAATATCTATTCCTTGTGCAATGAGGAAATGTCATTTTTAAAAAGGCATATTCCTTCAAGGGTACATATAAAGTATATTTTGTCTTCAATAGTTAATTAACATTTAACAATTTTAGATAGCATTCTTGAAGGGAAGAAAAGACCAGTAGGTTTGCCTGAAACTTACATGATCGGTAGGAAGTGTATCAGTATCTTTTTAATTGAATTTATTATAACAGACTATATTCTGTCAAGTTCAAACAGAAAAATAAGGCAGACCCTCAGGCACAGCTTTGAGCAAAGGTATAAATTAAAATTCTCTGGCAGTTGATTTTACAGAGTTATAGTAGCTGGTTTGGTACTTCCGCTTCTTTGCTGTGAAACAATACAAATAAATGTTTGCTTCAGAAACTGTGCCTCTGGAAGAAATATGTCCCTTGAGACATTGGGAAAAACAATTAAAGCTATAAATATATAGTAATTAGTGAAGTAGTTTATGCTCTCAGACTAGGTTCAAAATACCTCTGGTTAAAAATATCATCATTTTCATGTGGATAACTCTGTGGCGAATTTTCAACGGATGTGGGTATTTTTGTTTTGTTTTGTTTTTTAAAGAAATAAATTGTCACTCTTTGTGTTAGAGGGAAAAGGAAAATACCAGAGCTGTTCATCATTTTGATGATTATTTATCCTTGGTGACTGGAAGATTGCCCTTATTTTGATGTTGCTATTTCTTGGTGGAAGTTGCTGAGACAGGGATTCCTCTCCCTCCCAGCTGCTCCACCTCTACTTCAACTTTCGAGCATCTGATGTTTTCCATATTTGCACACAGCAAGAAAGAGAGTGATTAGGGAAATGCAAGGTTAAAGGCGCTATTATCTGAGATCAATTCCAGCAATTATCCATTACTGCTGTAATGACTGAATAGCTCTCAAAGGCAATGGGGAAATTAATCATAAAGGTTGTACCTGTACCAGTCTGTTTTTGGCTGGCTTTCAGTGCTAAAAATAGCACTATAATAAGTTAGTGATTACGTATGGCATGAATATTCTGTTTCTTTTAAACTTTTTTTGTTTTTTGAATAATGAAGAAAAAAACAAACACTGGCTTCTTTCTCTTTACCTCATTTATAATATTTCTGTAGCATAAGGGAAATCTCCCCTGGAAAATATTGCATCTAAGATCGTGTATTCGGTTTAAGATCCAAATCATCAAAGAAAAATGTCAAAGCTCATTTCTTAAATCCTCAACAAACACAAATGTTAGCTTTGCTTTGCTGTGAGGGGCAGCTCTCACATTTATACCTCCTACAGTAATGTAAAGCTTGGGATTCTCTGTGTTGGAGATTTGGAAAACCACTGGCAGATCTGCCATATGCCTCCAGAGCTCTCTGACCATTTAGTTATCCTGGAGAAGGTTTCCAACGTTCCACCTCGTGTGATGGGAGTACAAAGTCCAGAGATCATCTAACAATTCAGCCCTTCCAACACAAAAACTCCCAAGAAATGCATCAGCTAATAAGCCCCAAAAGAGAAATAGTGATACTCCCTGAATAAAGTGAAGATATTGATGTGTACTTTCCATGTGTGTACTTTGTTAAATAGCTTAAAAAGTCAGTTAAAAGTGGAGAATCATAAAACAAATTAAGCAAACTGTTATTTTATTTCCCCCTAAAATTTCAAATGTACATCCATTCACCAATCTTCTGATGTCACATCAAGTCCTTCTCTTTAAGAATCTTCTGATTAGAATCTGCAAAAGCCACCTCCATAATTCATTGCTATGAGTATCAGTTTTGATATTTAAAATTGGAATAAAAACGTAAAGAAATTTGCAAAGTAATTTGAGTAGACTGAGATTTTTCTGTTTTTCTCCTCCAGTCTTTTACAATTATTTCACTCACATCTAATTCAACAGTGATTTTTTTGAACATTTTCAGAGTATTTACTTATTTTCCATAGAAATAACTCCTTTTGGCTATGGCCATATGACCCTGAATGTGCCCGATCTCATCTCATCTCAGAAGCTAAGCAGGGTCAGGCCTGGTTAGTACTTGGATGGGAGAAACAATTCCTTTTCACACTTAAATTTTATCAGTTGGCAAGACCAGGCTCTTTTCTCCTGGTATAACTAAATTTTGCATTGTGCTCTTAATGCTCCCATACAAAAGAAATCTCCATTCACTATTTAATTGTCTAACACATGGGAAGGAATAGAACTAAAATCTTTCTTATTAGAATGTTTAGTGTATAACGTAGAGACTTGTTATGATAATAGTGCCTACTGATATAATTCTTTTTATTCCCTCCTGTGTGGATCACAGGAACTTTGTAAGGACATTGCATTAGACTGTAATACATGTATGTAGACAAAGAAAGTAATAATGGATTGAGTACCAAAGAAACTATTATTAAAATCTAAATAAATAAACTATCATTAGAATCTAAATAAATAAACTATCATTTGAAGCTAAATAAATCTAAGCATGTCTAATTAACCACTGTTCGCTATGTCTTGAGTATATCAGTAAGACTACTTTATTATAATTTCTTTTAATAATGCTGCTTATAAAACTATTTTATGTCATGTTCAAACAGAAAAATAAGGCAGACCCTAAGGCACAGCTTGGGGTGAAGTTTGAACATGTTTTAAAAATCAGGAGTCAGTGAGTATTTTAGAAAGTCCTTCACACAGCCTATTTTAAGTGAACATTTAAGATAACTCTCTCATGACTACAGGTGGACTTGGAAACCAGTTGCTGTTTATTTCTGGAAGGAACTAAAATTTCAATACCATTTGTTAGCCATGTTTAACAAATGGAGATGTGTTCTTCAGCCAGTGTGGTATTTTCATGTATAAAAGTTCAAATATGCTTTCTAATATCACAAGTAGACATGAAACTACTTTTGTTTCTTCTTGTTGATGAAATTACTTTCTCACTATATATATGCTGTGTTACTTAAATCTGGCAGTTTTATTCATAAGTTCAGGAAATTAAACATTATTTCATAAAAAAAAAACACCTAGAATTTAAATCACATTGTGGCCATACTTATGAACT